GTTCTTGGAGTTACCGATAAAGTGCTTTTCTGAAAACCCTGAGGCAGTTTGATTAAGGGAAAACAGCTTTTGCTCTTTCAAAAAGCACAAAAGTTGAATGTATTTCACTGTAGACAATGTGTGAGAATTTTTTTCTCTAAGGCAAAGGTGACGTATGTCATATGGACAGTGGCATATCACCCAAAAAATCGGTGGGATCCCTCAAATTGTTTGGTGACTGTGGACCAAAAATCTTTGCAATAGAGGACTTAATAGAAAAGTCATCCTATACAGGCAGGAGTTGGACCTGGGTCAAGTTTCTGTATCTTGCTTATAAGAGGAAGACCTAAATATGTTTTCTTTAAATTATTAAGTCTTAAGCATACCTATGTAACCAAGGGCACTGTTGGTGTTTTTATATTTACAAATTTTAAACATGCCTCCATTGGTTGGAAACTTGTGTTAACTGTCTTTTAAATTTTTTTAATGGGTTTGGGCTGTGTTTTGGTTTTTTTTTTTTTTCTTGGTTAGTTGGTTTGGGTTTTTTTGCAAAATACCTGGTCATTTTAGTGTGAAGTCCCAAAATTCGTATATTGTATTTAATTGTATAATTGACAGTCTTAGAAATGGTGGCATGTACTTGTGATTTCTTTGGATTCCTTCTTAAGTCTTACTGTAAAGACAAACATTTGAATTAATTGTTTATTTTGAATAAATATCCCTGTCTGGGGCAGTGATCTCCCTCCCAAGGCATTGCCAGGCAGATCTCAAGTTCTGAAGAGAACTTTGACAACCTTTAAATTTTTTAGCCATTGTAAGTTCCTGTAACAATGTCACATAAGTAAACAAAAAGGAGTTTGATGATGGCTTGTGTCTCCCGTGGAATGTAAGAAAGGGCACCAGCAGATGGCCTGAAAACATGGTGCTTTAGATGCTTGTCTCCTTACACTTTATCCGTGATTCCATCCCTAACTTTGCTAAAAGGATCGCCTGCAGCCATGCATACTTTACAATAAGCAGACTAATTGTGGGAACATATACTTTGTGGTGACTTTTTTTTTTTTAAATACTACTAACATAAAGATTGGCTACCTAGGTGTGATAAGTGATATTCTTCACGCCTTTTTAGAAAGAAAAATTAGAAGTGTGAATTATTTTTTAAGAATATGATCTAAGAGAATTAGAAAACCTTACTGAATGGAGTTTCCACTTCCTTTCACTTCCTGCTCTCCAAGGAGTGTCAAATTCTGTTTGCTGAAAACTGAAGCGTAAGTAACTTCACTATTCATTCCATGTTAGAATTTGCACACATAGCAAGGGAGCAAAACTGTCTCCTGTGTTATGTGAAGTCAGGTGTTCTCAAAAGGACATTTGTGAATACGCCCCTCTCTAAAACTTGTGCCTGATTTATGTTGTTTCTCTCTCTGTACATGGCTGGGCTGCTGACAAAAGCAGGCACGGGTTCACATAGAAAGTTCTCTCAAGCCTGGGAAACTGGAGGAGCACAGTGGATTGCAGCTACCAATTAATATTGAATGTATGGGAAATAAGTTTGAACTTTTCTTGTATATGACACAGGGTCCAACACAGCAGAGAAATGTGCAAGGTTTGGGTTCGTTTTCATCCTGATTACATTTCTGAAGTAAATGTCAGTATCATACAAATTGTATTTCCCCTGGGTTTTATTTTGTGGTGTTAAAAACAATTCCTAGCAATTCATAAATCATCTTGATGTAGTAATTGTGCCTTCACAGTTGTGAGGTTTTTCACTGTGTTCACATATTTTAGTCACACCAGCGATTCACACTGACAAGTTTGTAAACCGAACTGGCTGCATTTGTTAGGGCAGTGTGAGTGAGAATAATGAAGTTTAAAGCTCCTTTCAGTCTTGACTTAACCATAAGACAGCAACTTTAGAAACTTTTCCTACTCTCACTTGGATCTCCTTATTCTCTAAGTATGGGGCATTAATTTGTTGGTAGTTTTTTTTCATGAGTGCAAGAAATTAAAATATTAGAAAATGCAACATACATCCAGAAAGGTATGGGTGGAATAGCAGCAGGAAGCTGGTAAGTTAGCTCAGTCATTATGAAACTTTAATAAGCAATTTTGATAATGGAATGCAAGTGTTTCTCAAGTGCCGGAAGGACTCATTTTAATACAGTTCTGGTAATGGGAAGAGTGATAATGTCTGCAAGCGGGCAGGAATGTTTCTGGTTTTATGTAATAATGTTTAATGGAAGAACTTCAGCCATTTCTGGGGCAGGTAAACTTTGAGGCCTTTTAAGGAAGCAGAAGGGAGAAGATGCATAAAGAGTGAGAAAATAAACTGCATTCAGCACGGGGATGAGGAATAGAGAACTGAGTGGCATTTCAGTGAAGAAGTGCTTAAAGATACTACTTTCTTGATAGAAACTCAGTATGAAATTGAAAAAATGTCAATTTGCATGTTATAATCCTCTCCATTGGACCCAAGACCTTGAATAAACACTTTTAATTTTTTGTTTCTATATTTCACGCAGGCAATCTCTTCTGCAAGACAAAGTGAAAACCTGGCTTGAGAGTAGGCTTGAGCATTGCAGGCTCTGTCTTCTCCTATTTTCCATCCCTCTTGCTGGCTAAAGAATGTCTGTTATTTAGTTATGAAGCATCTGCACTGTGCTGAGGACAGATAGGCTCAGGATATGTCATGACGAATTAACACGATGCCTGTCAGCTTACCAAAAAGAAAGCAGGTATGACATTTAGCTTAATTAGTGAGTAAAATATTAAGTGATATATGGTAGTGCTCTAACCGAGCAGCAGCAGTGCCTGATGGAGGACATTTAGAAACCTAAATACCCAGGTTTCTGAAGGTCCCTGTCTCAAGAATAAAGCAGTAAATGTGCATCTCCATGATGTCCCACAACAAGAGGTCTGTGCTTGTCATGGGTTTGCTCCAGCTCCCCTGGGATGTGGTGTCATGATTTTCATAAATATGTTTAAACCTCATCTTAAATGTAGTTTAGTGTTTTGCTCCTCTTGTTTTAGCTGTAAAGAATGTTGCAGAATCATCTCACCATTGTAAAAATGAGGAACCATCTTCTAAAATCTTGCTAATGTTTAATTTTGACCAGTTTTTTTTTCCCCTCACAGGACAATACTAGTTTTTATCTTGCATAGCTTTTCCTCTCTTTTAGGTTAAATCCCTGGATCTATTTATCTTTTTCTTCCTAATCCTTAGATACAGGTTCTCCATTCCACAAAAATCCTTGTAACAATTTTCCTCATTAGTTGCAGTTTGACATCATCTTTCTTGAACTGGAGAGCTCAGTCCTGAAGTTCAGAGTATTTAGAGTGAAATCTCCCCTGTGCATTGCACAGTAGCATTAGTATCTTTCCTGTTCTGCTGGAAAATCTGTTCTGATATAATCTCTGTTTTTCGGAGGACTGCAATTCGGCAATGTCCTGATTATACCTGTGTTCAGGTATTGCCGTGCTCAGTGTCTGGCACATGGCACGTGCTTGACAGCAAGTCTGCTGTCCCGCTCAGAAGCACAGCAGGACTGTACAACTGCCCACCATCTGTCTGGTGTTTCCAGAGAGCTGCCTGTAGCATCTCTGTGATTGCCACTGAGGGCCACATCTCCCATATCATGTTGGGCACATGATCACCCACCACAGAACCACAGCTTGTTTTTCATCTGCAAACACAAGAGTGTATTTTCTGAAAACTGAACTTCTCCACCTCAGCCTTCAAGCTCACCTCATTCTTTCTGTATTCAAAACCTCCTCACTTTAATATTGACTTCCACCTTCATATCATTAGCAGAATTCATCAGATAACTCCAGATTTAAAAAAAAAAAAAAATTAACAGTGCTCCATCCGTTTTAGTGTTTCTTCTTCAAAGCTCCTAGTTGTCACCTCCTCTTTAGCATAATCTGCCTTTGCCTTTCAGTGCCTTTAGTCGTCCCATCTTCTCCAATGACATCAAAAATTGCCTCTGTGGCACGGCAGGGCATGGAAGGATTTACTCAGGTTCAGAGAGGTGATGTTGATGTCATTTCTCTTTGGAAGGTAGTTTGTCTAAATGAAGGTACCAGTTGAACATGGCATATGTATATGTACCTTTTTTAAAAACAAGCATCATTTCTCCCCATTTATTTCTGTCTGGTTTTCTTCAACTTTTGTTTTTAAGATCTACATGCTATGGAAACAAAAACTGTGCTTCTGGTTTACCTGGAATACATTCTCCTTCCCTTCAGCCCTTCTTCACTTCAAGTCCAAATGCACACTTCGGCTCACCCCAGCTTGACTGAAAGTTAAAACTAGGCTTAAAAACCCTAAAAACTTGTGTGATTTCACACTGCTATTTCTTTAAGACTCCAAGGATGGTTATATTTCTCTTTAGGCTGAAGATTTTTATACCTCCAACACTTGTTATGCAAAATTAAAAGTTCTGTTGCTTTGGGGGTTGGGTTTTTCCCTCTGGAAGTTGTGATGTACTTCATCTTCAAGCCTTAGGCTTCCAGCAGGAGTTAATTGATGGTAATCATGCAGACTGGGTTGTGCAGAGTGTCATAGTAGACTCTTCAAGCTAAAGTCCTCTGTGCATCTGTCCATAGGCCCAGGCAATCCAGCCTGGCAGCTCCACACCCACAGCTCCTCCAAGCCCAGCTTGGGGCCAGCACCTCTGTCCACACCCAGGGTCTCACTGATCATGGGCTGCCCAGGTGGTGTGTTTGACAAATATTACTGAAGTCATTACTTACGGATGTTCACTGTAAAGGTATCCTCTTGTGTGCACTTTACACCAGCCCAATCCAAATCAATGAGTCATGTTTGGATCTGAACATCCTGTGTTTTTCCTGAACAGCCTTCATGTTTTACAGTAGATACATTAGTCATTGTGTACACTGTGTTCATAGTACTGAGCTGAGAACAAGTTTAAAATTCAGTCTACTAAATATCTTACAAACCATTAAGAAAACATTATATAAGTTATATACAAGTTGAAGATAAAATATCACTTCTATTAGTCTGTGATATAAAATACAAGATTTCAAATATTTATATATTCTTTAGTAACTGTACAAGTTGTCTACAAACTATGAAATAAGAAAATCTATGTGATTTTAGCCTCCATATATGTACAAAAATACATTTATATATATACAGAGACACATAAAGACTAATAAGCCCATTCCAAAACTTGGAACATAACCACATGTAGTAAATCCTTCTTAAGGTATTTAAAAGTATCCTTCATGTCTTCATGCTCATCTCAGCCTCCGCGTTCATCTTCTGTGATATTGTGACATTGGAGGATATTATATTTAGAAAATTAAATCTAAAATTTTGTTTCTGTTGGAATCTGTAGGAAATAAAAGGAAATAAATGTCATCTTTTGAAAGGAATAGCCAGGGTAAGTCTCCTCTTGGGAATGATGCATAAGAATCTGCTTCTCTAAAGCATTTGGGTGAGAAGACTGTGGGCTGACATTTACTCTTTATGGGGTTGCTCTGTGCTGGGTACTGCCCTTTTCGTGAACTCTGTGATGAAAGGCTGCATGGATCCCTTTCTTATCCCTGTCTCCAGACTCGCCTTATGCCTGAGGAATTTCGATAAACTGGACTAACGTTCACTCCTGTGCCACAGGGGCATTCCACCAGTGAGCTCCTCGCGGGGGAGCTGTGGTGGACAGGCCAGGAGACCAGGTGGGACAGCCTGGGGACAGCCTTTGCCTGCTTTCCCTCTCCGTGCACACAGCACGGCTTGTGAGCCGAGCCCCGGGGCTCCTACTCCCCAAGGCTTTGCCTTAAATCAAATCCCGTCCATAAGCTGTCTGGATGCTTTCTGCCCTGGGCTGACACAAGCACTCAGGGATATCTGACATAGCAGGTTCTCATGAGCAGCTTTTGGGGCTGTGTTTTCTACGTCTGGAGTGCCACAGACAGAGCCTTACCGAGCATTCCCGGCTGCGCAGTCCATTCCTGGGGATGATGACATAGTCATTGCTTCTACCGTTCTCCTGTAAAGAACACAGGAAGATGTGGGTTAGGAAACAGATTGCTTCTTTTTTTCCTGCTTTTCCTTTTTCACATTGAAGAAGGTTTTGCTTTCTAAATCTCTAGAAGTTGACCTAGAAGGAAGGAAGATCTCACTTGTCAGTCCTTTATGACCCCTGACAGGTCTCTGGGTCAGTGCAGAAGGGCTGGGCCAGTTCAGCTAAGTGGAATTAGCCAGTTTCCAGGTGAGCAGCATTCTGGGTCTGGTACAGTTAAACAGACTTTAATGTATGTGGGATTCTTTCTTGCTCTTGATTTAAGAACACTCCCAGAAAGACTGTCACCAAATTTGGCTGTACTAATTTATCTGCACTACTTTAGCACTCTTTTTGAAGGTACACTGGGCTGGAAAGCCTACATGCAGCATAAATTCTGCCTTGCAGGAGCCACTGCAGTGAAAGGAGCAGTCTCTGCTGGGTGGGTGGGGACAGAGGACTGCTCATGGATGGGCTGGGCTCTCACCCACACTGTGCTCTTCCCAAAGAGGTGACTTCAGGTGAAGTCTATGGCCAGGCCAGTCACCAGTAGGAATTCACTCATTTCACTAGTGGTTTGCCAGGCACGTGGACCAGGGGCCACTCTTGCTCTCCAAATTTATTGAAGACCAGCTGAGTTTTAGTCATTAACTTTTCGAATATAGAGACAGTGTAGCACACACTGCTGGGTGCCTGGCAGTACTGAAAAGGCACTAAGAAAATGAAAGATAGAGATTGTAGTGTTACCTTTGTGAGCTTTAATTTTGAGGAGTTGGCTGTGTCCTTCTTCAGCAAAATGTGTAAGACTGCATCATGAATGGTGAGGAAAAACATGGATGGCTTAATCTCCTCATCAAAAAATGCACTTCTCTCCAGTTTGTCCAGGAGGCCCTCTGTGAGGAAACAAAATCCAAGCACAAAGTGATCTGCAGGCCTTAAAAAGGAAGAAATAGTGTATGCTGAGCATGCCCGCGAAGTGAACATAGGAATTCCTGGTATAATACACTGTTTTATTTATTAGAGCTGATGGTTTCATCTTTATGGATGTGGAGAAGGCAGAACACAAATGCCCATCAGTAGTGCCCTGCTCAGTGCCAACAGGAGGGAGCCTGAACCCCTTTGCTTATTTAATGCCCAACCCAGGTGCCTGATCACAGGTCTTGCAGCCCAGAGCTGCAGTGGCTGTGGGTAAGATGAGCTTTTACACGTGGTCCCAGCCTTCTGGGGACAGCAGGGAAGGGATGACACCTCCATTGAGCCGGCTCTGTTTGTTATCCAAGACTGGAAGGTAAAACTGGGGTGATCCTCCAAAACCATGCTCAGTGGCCCACAGGGGAGGCAGTGGGATGAGGCAGCTGTGGCGGTGCCAACAGACAGGCAAGTACTCACCGTGGGACCCAGCAATGTAAACGTCGATGTCCAGTCGGACAAACTCTTTCAAAGTCTGTTAAACCAGAAGGAGGCACCATTTAGATATTGCTGGTTTTTTTGCAGTGTGGTAACAACCCTTATGGTGATTAGTCACTGCAAATATATAAGCCACTATAAGACATTTAAGATCTGTGATGGCAAGCAGCTTTGAACTCAAACTCTGCTGCACCTAGAGGCAGGACAGTCCTTTCACATGGCTGCAGACAGCGATGGCCAATCCTTTTGAAAAGGGGCAGGACTGAAAACGTTTAGCTCACAGAGAAAAAAGGTGATCTTTCATGAGTTGTATGACTTTACTATACCTACATGACTCATGATGGAATTTTAAAAAAAAGGACTTCAAAATCTTCTGGGGGGCATTTTTATAACTGGAAATTTGAGCAGAACTACAGTTCCCACTGAGATGGTGGTTTTTAGTTCCTATGGAAATAGATTTACACCCATGTGTCTCTAGACAGTTAACTGTAGCTGCTACTGTTTGAAAATGTTGTGCCTTTTGCTTTGTTCAAGATCATCTGGGGAAGCAAGAGCAGGAGCAGAAATTGAACTCCAATGCTTCAACTCCCAGCTGGGTGTTTAAAAGACATATTTCATATCTACATTTCTGTAAAGCTTACCAAAAAGCTTACCAGGTGAAGAAAGGCTGCCACAGCCAACACTTTAATTGCAAGACAATTTGTATTGATTGCTTAAACCTTTTCCTAAACATTTTCTATGGAAAATGTACATTAAAATTCACATGAACTCAAAGGTTGCCACTGACCTTCCAGTCCATACAGGAATGCCTTTAAAAGCAGGATGAACACACAGAATATAATCACAGAATCACCTCGGTTGGAAAGGACCTGAGAAATAACTGCTAGTTCCAACCTCCCTGCCATGGACAGGGACATTTCCCACTGGAAATGGGTTGCTCAAAGTTCTGTCCAACCTAGCGTTGAACACTTCCAGGGATGGGGCAGTCACAGCTACTCTGGGCAACCTGTTCCAGTGCCTTACTGCCCTCACAGTAAAGAATTCTTCCTAATACCTAATCTAGACCTGCCCTCTTTCAATTTAAAGCCATTGCCCCCTGTCCTATCAGTACATGGCCTTGTAAGAAGTCCCTCTGGGCACCCTCTCTTCCCTTGTGTACCCCTCAAGTGTAACTGCATTCATAAGTTTTTCTTTCATATGATCACTGTTTGTCTTGTGAATTATGATTACCTTTTTGAGGACTGTCATGGCAGAAAAATCGAGGAAGGACACTGATGAGAAATCCAGAATGATGCTGTGAATGTTGACCTGGGGCACAGTGATGCCAGGGGGGAGGTCAGTGTCCCAGTTGATCTGAATGGGCAAGTCTGCCATGTTGGTGGGCTGGTCCAGCTCCTCTATTTTGTTGTTGTCTAATTCTTCGTCTGACTCATATGTATGGTTAGCCACGGAAATCAAGCCTTTCTGTGTTGACAGAGAAAAGTGTCATCATTAGTACCCTTTTTTAAGACCCAGCCAGGGTAGTAGTGCTTCTTATGCAAGGGCGAGAGTGGTGGCAATGCAAAACTGATGTTCCCATGAGAAGGAGCAGGACCCACCTGCACCTTGAACCAGAAAAATTTCTGTCTCTCCCTTGCCTGGAGAAGTCTGGAAATCATTTAATCATCATCATAATCACTTAATGGTGGCTTTTTATTGTTCCTTGAAGGCAATTGTCAGATACACTTCAATTCAGTAATTTTGGAACTAGTCAACAAAAGCATGCAGGATTTGAGCTGGGAGAAAACCAGCTTTATCCTACCATTAATGGAGCATGATCATCACCTCTGTGGGATCTGATCGTGCCATTTGATGCCAAACAAAGCTCTAGTGGACACATATACAAGCTCTGCCCATGGTAAATCTGTGGGTCTCTAACTGTGAGAGCAATTTAAAATCTTATTTTTTAAAATGTGTTTAGGTCATGAAGTGGAAACCTGGGGAGTAGCATATCTAATTAGGACAGGAGGCTGTGAGGTACTTCTCTGCCAGGGAGCTGGTTGCTTAATCCCCCTCTGCTGGGGATAGGGTTGCCTTACATACAGGCGTCACTTGCAGCTCTCCTTTCTTCAGCATCTTCCTGATCTTCCTCAGAGCTTTATTGCGTTTCCTCAGGACTCTCAGTGGGTTGAAGCCAACCTGCAAAACCAGCACTTTGAATAATTAAAAATAGAAACACCTCCGTGACAGCGAGGTAAGGGCAAGCATCTCATGTGGCTCTTCTTTACATTCATGGTTTGAACTTGATGTTCCCTATTGCCTACCACTTTTCTTCAATTCAAACAAGGGCCCTTTCTTGGTTGGAAAGATGTCTACAGGTATTGCTACACACCAGGCAGGCCTGTCTGTGCTAGCTTTAGGAGACCAGCGTGGACAGCATTATAGCAGTGCCAGGACTGTAGCACAGGCCACTAACTCCAGCAGGCTGGCACAGTGCTGGCATGTCCTACTCATCTTCACTGTGAGATGGACGCCCAGGTGACCAAGACCAGAGAGCTCACAGGTTGTATCTGCTCTGTGCCACCCAACTGCAGTGTGGGTCATTCACACACTGTTTTTACTGAGGAAGAAAAAAAAATTTGATCATGTTGGCTGCGTATGTCTCTTGAACACCTTGGCTGGTTTTAACAAAATTAGATGGCAGGTAAATTAGGCTAGTAAGGGTTATGAGACCACTAGATTCCTGCAGGTCTTCTGCCTCATCCATCTAGTGGGTAGAGGAGAGAGGTGTTAGAAGTACCAGTATCTGTAAAGAAAGAGAGTGGTGTGAGCATCTGCTCTCACAGAAAAGAATCCCTTTATGCTCTTCTGAGGTGAAAGCCAAACACATGGAGAACCACGTGTTGGATTCCTGTGTTCCTCTGCCAGCTTCAGTCCCTCACATGAAGAATGAAATGCTCATTAGCAGTGCCCAGGGTAGTCAACTCCCCACTGAAAGCAGCAGGAAGGGAAGGTTCTAAGAGCAAGTTGTGCTCAATCTGGGGATGGTGGGCCTCGCTGGCATGGTGAGAGCTCAGGGGTCCTGGGCCTCTGTGCTGGTTATGGAAAGACTGGTTGCCTTCACCAGTTTGTTATGGAAGACATTTAGACCTCTTTGATGGAGTGATTTCATTCAGTCGTTCTTCTGACTGCTGTGGGTAAATTCTTTGAGGCAATATGAAGTAAACTAGCTTTATTTGGTGTAAATAATATAGATGCCAGTAAAATAAAATTATTTCCCTTTATATTATCTGTGTTTGCACTACTTTCTTGTAAAGGACTTAAAATATGTACTCTTATGGCACATCAATATTTGGCATATATATATATAAGTATATATATAGTATAAAAATTGTTATGATGTAAGTTCAGCATGAGTCAGGCTGTTCTCTTTCTCAGGGCTGTGTGCCTATGTGTGAGATTAGAGTAGTGGCAATAATATTTGAATTAACCATGAAAATTTCACCTTTGAACTGTGGACCAACTGCATATATTATTGGGAAATTATTCACCTTAATGTGCTATGCAACGTATATGTTCAGAATGAGAGCCCCAGACACTTACAGCAGTGATGAGTTTCTCTCTGAAGAATTCAATATTAGCAAAGAAGATTGGAGAGGAGCATCTGAAAATCTTCACTCCCTCTGGCTCATAGATCTGCACAATGAAGCAAAAGTGTCAGGAACAATGTCTGTTACAGAAACACCAGTGCAGCAGATGATGAAAGAAACAAGACATTTCTTACATCAGTGTAATCCTTCCTGTTTCTGTAGATGTTACTTCTCCCAACATTAGCCAAAACAGTGCAGCTTGGACTGTGAACAAAAATGCACACAAAATTATTAGTATCCAATATCAAAACTTGAAGGATGGGAGGGATCAAATAAAACAATCTCAGCTGCAGTGGCAGACTGAAGGAGATCCCCACAGCCAAAGGTTTATGCTTGTAAATTTTTCCATCTGTGGTTGCTGGACAGACTGAGGTACAGGGCTGTTGGTCTTCTCTGTACAGAGGGGGTTCATTTATAACAGGAGCTCCTGAGATATCATCGCATCCAACAGGTACTCACATCTGGGAGCGGATGACCACTGTCAGCAGCTGGAATGCCACAGCTGCTGCTAGTCCAATATCCAGGCCAAGAAAGACAGCAGATAAGAAAGTCACCACCCATATAATCTGTAAAGAGCAGGTAGATGGCAATGGTTATTAGCATGTCAAGAACCTGGGTCATGAGCTCAGGGTGGGAGCAGCAACAGATCTCAGATCTGGTCCATGATGTCCATCTGCTTTTGGTGAGGGCTTTTTTCTTGTAAAACAGGACCAGAGTCACCAGCCAGCACCTGGAAGTGTGTCCAGGGATGACCATTTCTAGACAACAAAGGCCTAGAATGATAGGGGTGTGGCTGCTCAATAGGTGGTTCACTAAATGCTCAATAAAAATCCAGCAGAAAGGCAAGGTTACAAGTAAATCAGGATCCTGTAAAGCTGAGAGTTGTAGCTGTGCAAATATAGGTGCTGTGGATGTACATGACAAATGATTAGGTAAGACTGAATAATTTTTAGCCTCAGAGCTCAAAGCGTTTTCATAGTGTAAAAACATCTGTTTGATAGCTCAGAAAACTGAGGCCTGGAACCATTTGTGAATACAAGGGACTGGCATACAAGAAAGGCAAGACCCTACATTTTCTGAATGTTAGAGCTAACCAGTCCTGCCCTAGAGCCATGAGTTTTACCATTTGGACTAAACCCTTCAAGCCATGGTTGTCATTTGTTTTTGCTGTGTATCTTTCATATAACATGCTGCATGAGTGTTCCTGAATGCAGGAGGTATTTAGACATTTTCTGTTATTCAGGTATTTTCTGTAACTGCCTTCTATATTTGACTTTGTATAATGTTGAAATGGATGAAAACGAAGCTAAGAGAGAGAATCAACTCAAAATAGGTGGGATAAAATGGGAAACATAAGCAAGGTGTATGCCAGTAAAAAAGGCATGCCACTATTGTATTTTCTGTTTAGTGAAGTAAGACAGGTATATATAAAAAAAATTGCATAACAGATGACTATTTCAGAGCACTGAACTTGTGATGATGATGCTCGTGAGACTCAACTTACACAGTCAAACTTGTCTTTCCTCCACAGGATGCCTACTTCCTTGAACTGCAGGAGCATTCCTTTCAGGTTGCCAAGGGCCAAAGATGCAAGGACTGACTGTCAAAAAGACCAAAATGGATGCTGAATATTTAAGCAAGCAAAGAACATGTTGAACATTATGAATTTAAAGATCATACTAATAGGGCCAAAGTGCAGCTGAAAGGTTCCTGGTACATCACAACTGATGGAACTTTCCCAAGTGTGGTGCAGTGCAGGTGTCTGACTTGAGGCTGCAAATCCCAATTATTTATGGCACCTGAAAGCTGGTACTGTGGTGGTTGGTGTTCGGGTACTTGTGTTCCCTTTGAAGGACCAGATGTAGTGGTCCTTTCTGGCATGACGTGGGAAGAAAAACCAAGTTTTCCAAACCCCTGCTTTGCTCCCTCTGAAGTCTGTGAACACTCCCAGTGACTCCTAGGGCAGCCCTGTCTTTGGCGAGCAGGAGGAAGCACTAAGTGAAACCAGTGAATACCTTCTGTAATGGTGCCAGGAGAAACCCAATGGCCAAGATCACAACCAAGACGATGACAGATGAGATAATACCAGCAATCTGCATGAGAGAACAATTCCACCATGAGTGCCTGCAGGCATTACGATCAGCTAGGAAAAAATAGAGCTGTGTTTCATTAAACACCATCATGATTTGTTGTCTTCAATACCTGTGTTTTGCCTCCTGTGCTCTCCTGCACACCTGATCTTGACAGAGCAGTGCTGGAGGCAAATCCTTTGAATGATCCACCAACTATATTACCCAGACCAAAAGCAATTAGTTCCTGAAATAAAAACAAAAAAGGTTGTTCTTAAAAGCTGGTTCATGACAGTTATTCACAAGGTAAAGCATTCCTAAAATGATTTATTTCCCATTGACAAATGCACCATATTGATTTCTGGTTTTTGCCTACCTGGTTGCCATCTAGTGGGTAGTCATGCTTGATGGAATACACTTTAGCCACAGAGAAGGCTACTGCAAACGCAACGATTGCGATGGAAATGCCGTCACCAATACACTTCTGGAGGATGCCTACATCAGGTGCAACGGGTGCCTGAAACCTGAAAGACAAAAACCTCAACTCATTGAGGATATGCTAAGGAGACAAGCTCTCAGCCAAGAGAGCAAGGGAGCAGTCAAGCTTGTACTGAGCACTTTAGGGAGATGCAACACAGAGCTGTGGGTCTGAACCCTATAAAACTTTGGGGAATCCTTAATCAGGACAGGGACTCTCTTTATCTGCACTCAACTCAGTTTGTGTTTCAGCATGTTCTCATTTACTTGGCCAGTTCCAGTCACAGCTTATTTCATCTGAGGTGCACACACAGTTCTTCCTTCTGGTTACACATGGATGTAGGATCTGATACTGCACTGAGGCCCTTGCATGGGCAATTTGCACATGGAAAGATTTCACTTAATTACAATGGGAAAAAAACCCCTGTGTGATTCATTGAGGCTCTTTTACAATATCAGGTAATACTGACCAGTCTCTCAGTCTATCTATCTCCTAGAAAGTTTAGCTTTACTATTTTCTGCTGGGTGTGTTTGGGGTCTTTTGCTAGGGAGAATGCTCGGTCTTCTCCTAGGGAGAATTCCCCTCTGGGCTTTTTTTTTTCTTTCTTTTTTCCAATGAACTAAAATCTGAAGAAAAGAGACTCGTAAGCAGAAATAGCTGTTCCTCTGCAAACTTAATCTGCTAACACCCCTGAGGTTACACAGAGAAATGCTGCCCTAGTAAAGGTCTTCCTCCCTCTTTTTAAATTAACACATGCTTATTAATTCTTTATGCCAAAATTCTGGCATAGCCAGAATTACTTTATATATGGATATATACTCTGCTCCTGGAGGAGCAGATACTGAGGCCTCTGGAGGACAATGGTGCCTGAGGAAATGCTGGTAGCCACTCACAGGACCAGGCAGGAGAACTGTGCAGCGTCCTTGTGGCTTCCCAGGGCTACAGGTGGCTGCTGAACTGTGCAAGTACTTTGAGGGAAACCAAGGGGTTCAGAAGTGAATAGCCCAATAAAAGGGACAAATATCAACCTTCTGCTCAAAAACTGTCTTAGAAAGTGAAGGACACAATTAATTCATGTCTCAGTACATTCCTTGACAGGTAGGAGATGTGCTCTAGTGAGTAACTTTTACATACTGAAATATTATTGAATATTGTTGAGAGAAAAATATTTATTTACCTACTGAAAGAAGATGAAGCAGATAATTTTAATCAGAAACATAGCTGAACTGATTTAACACTGCCAAACTAGAGAGAACATTTTGTTCCACTGGTGAATTGTAGGTAAGGCACTTACCCTTCCTCTAGTTTTCCAACAACAGCTACATTAAATTTTTCTTCAAAGTTAAGAAAATAGGAAATCAGTGCTGCTAAGATTGTCTGAAAGATAACAAACCACACCTGCGTTAGGCACATTCATGCAGGAGTGTGAAGAAACTATTAAATACCATTACCTTCCCTCTCCCACACACCCTCCAGCCTCAACACTAGTGACAGAATTATTTCCCAAGTCTTCACATCCCTTTGCTATTCAGATGTCACTCCTGAACGACCTTACAGGTATGAGTTTGTGTTCATAAATCACATGGATTGTTACAGAACATCTTACTAACAACAGAGATCTTCCTACCCAATAAACCAGGTATGTTCTAACAAGGTGCTGTAATGACTCTGGGAGGAAAAAACATCCTCCAGGATATTAGAAGCTTCCCCCACTCCTCTGCAGCTTGGAATGGGCAAAACTTTCTGCTGCAGGAGGGCAAAATAATTTTGTGCTTGGCCATGGATGTCTGGGACTTCAGTGGCTGCTTGCAAGTGTGTTGCAGAGGGGCCCCAGCTGTGAGACTGCAGCTGGATGGTGTCAGACTCAATCTTGTACAACTAAAAAATTCATAGTTTATAACACCACAGATATGTTCAATTAAGAAGAGTTAAGTAGAGGTAAAATATCTCACAACAGCTCACAGATGCTGTCAATTTTTCCTTATAGCTAAAATGATAATGCATCATTTAATGGAGAACAGGAGAAGAAATAGTTAAAATTCTACTTCCTATGTCATAACATGGAGCAATTGCAAAATCAAGAGGAAGTGACTTACCACAAGGAGTTCGACCGGGATGGGAGTTGGTAACTTTTCTTTGTATCGATCGTTCATTTCTTTCACCACGAACACGATAAGCAAGACAAGCAGGGATGTGACAAGGTCAGCAATGTTTGTTTTTGTAATCTGGCTGAAAATGCTCTCCAGAGTCTGCAGAATCAGAAAGAAACAAGAAGTGCTTTAGAAATAGTAATGCCCTGGCACAGTAGCACTATCCCTTCCAGAAGAGCCATTATCTGAATTGCTCTAAGGATTATGATGGTTGGGATTTATTCCCTGTGGCATGATGTGGACTGCAAGCCCCCATGAATGTATGTGCATCAGCCAAATGATGAGAGCATCCACAAAAGAACTTTTCCACTGATTTGTGACACCTCTCCTGGCTTTCCCCTGAGGGAGGGTTGGAGCAACACACGTGCGTGTGTGAGAGGAAATGTGAGCAGTGGCATTGAAGAGCAGGTGCCTCTCTCCTTTCCTCGCTTCCTGTCCTTCTCTTTCCTCCTTCTCATCGAACAGCCCTCACAGAGTCATATGCAAATAAAATATGTATAATATCAGTCCAGTAAAAACGAATATTTAATTGCCTAAGGCAGAGTTGAATGCTTAATGGAAATATGCCACCACACAACGGTAATATTATCTAAAAAGACAATGGGGTGTAACTTGGGGCTTGGTCATGAATTTAAAGATTGGTCAAATACTAATAATACGTCTCTTACTTTTCTCATGTGTTTCCTCCTGCTTGGCTGTTTTATGCTGAGTTCTGTTATTGCTGCCTTGTGATACACAGACACGGGTACATCAACAACATTAGCAAATAATGAACACTTAGCACTTACATAGATGATGCCAAATGGTTTATTAAATCCGGGGACAGGTAGCTGAAACATGAACTTCAGCTGAGATACCACAACATGGATAGCTGCAGCAGTCGTGAAACCACTGATTAATGATTGTGATAGATAAATAACAATGAATCCAAACTGGAAAATTCCCAGGAGCAACTGAAATGTAAAATAAGCATACATCAGTGGGATTAATTCATGTTTTTAAGCAACCTCTGCAGTAAAGAGAACCATATTTAATGGAAGCCAGTATTTTCACCTAATCCCATCCATCCAGAGACTGAAGAATATACTATCATCAGACTTGCAATGAAAGTTGAGATTTAACAACAGGGGGCATAATATTAGTAAGAGTAATTGCTAGAGCAATTCAAATCCATTCTTTTCATTTTATAGCTAAAATAAACCTGCTTAGTTTTAGTTTTTTCAGTACTTATATTTTCACATGGTACTAGTGTTTCACAAAGTACAAATATACTGTTAGAAAGGGAGGAAAGGTAGGAATTCTTTATTAGGACCTAAGGATAAACTTTTTTTTTTTTTAAAGACAAATCCAAATATTTTACTATTGTGAGGTAGATCTTTTATTCCCCTTGGTGCATCTGCATCATTAACTTTATTTTCACAGCTACTTTTTTCCTATCCAGCAGATTGCTTTTTGCTGTAGGTGTAGGTTGCAGCTGTGTGGGCTGTAGGCTCAGGTCTGTGAAAAACCAGGGAATAGATGTTTCCTAATCAGTGAGCCGAGGTTAGTTACACAGGAAGGGGAAGAGGATTATTTTCGTGACTACAACAGCCTACCATCCAACTATTCATATGAGTGCATATAGATATGTGTAGACACACACACATCATTTACCAACCTGAAAAATCCCAGAAAGAAAGGTTACAGATGCAGCCACCATCACCCTCTCTTCATTTATTGCTGAGATATTTGTGGAATTGCCATTTCCAATGCTGTCATCAGGGACCAGCCTGGTGACGACTCCTCCAACCATCAGGCTCAGGACAGGGAAGGGACCTGAGCAGCACAAGGCACTTGTTAAGAGATCCAACGGAGCAGCACGTACCTCTTCATCAGTGAGGAGGGTAAGTTGTTTGCCTGAACTTACCCACTGAGATATGTCTGGATGTGCCAAAGATAAAATAGACCAAGACAGGGAAAAATGCTGCATAGAGTCCATAACCGGGGGGCACATTCACCAGCAAAGCAAAGGCAAGACCTGTGAAGACAGAGGCCCGGGGAAGGAGATGTGTGTGCTGCAGGCTGCAGCCAGCAGTGCCTTGGCATCTGGCCTAGCAGGCTGTGTCAGGGCACACAGTTCCTGAATATACCTTGTAGCACAGCCACGAGCCCTGTGTTGATGCCAGAGACGATGTCACTCAGGATCCACTCCCTGAAGCGGTACTCTGGCAGCCATGAGACGACGGGAAACAAGCGCAGAGCAATTTTTTTGGCCCTTTGTGGGGAGCAGCTGTACAGGCAAAAGAGAACAGAATTCTGTCAGTGAACAGCTTAGCTGAGTTGCAAACTGTTTTCAGAGGGGAATCAAAGACAAAATGATTCAGGTTCTGGCTGCTAGAGGTCAAAATCTCACCCAGATACAGCCCTGACCAACCTGCACTGCCAGCTGTGCTTCAAGGCAGACCCAGAGGCCTTCAGAGTTCCTTTCCAACCAAAATTCTCATAAAATCACAGAATGGTTTGGGTTGGAAGGGATCTCTGAAGGTCACCTACTCCAACCCCCTCAAAGTAAGCAGTGATGCCAGACTGCCTAGGTCAGGTTGCTCAGAGACCACCTAAACTGATCTTGAACATTTCCAGGGATGGGGCATCCATCACCTCTCTGGGTAATCCCTACCAGTGCCTCACCACCCTCATCATAAAAAATTTCTCCCTTATATCCAGTCCAAATCTACCCTCTTTCAGTTTGAAACCATCATCCCTTGTCCTGTCACAACAGGCCTCGGTAAAAAGTAAGCCCCCTTTAAGTACTGAAAGGCTGCAATGAAGCCTCTCCAGAGTTTGTGCTGCCAAGTGCCCAGAAAAAGAGGAGGTACCTGAGATAAACTGTAGGAAGATTTTAAAGGGTAATAGCAGCTAAAACTCATCAGAAAGATCTGACACTGAATTTAGTTAATGAATTTTCACTTGCAATGTTGGAATCTGAGATGGATGTTGTTAGGATGGAGTTCATGCTGTCCAAGAGCAGTTCAGGCTGTTTCTTAGATATATATTTAAAAAAAAAAAAAAAATCTCCTTACCGGAAATAGAGTTTCAGGTGGTCCCAAAAGGTTTTATGGTATCTGTGCAATTTCTCATGCTCCTCATTGAATGAATTCTCTGAGTACACAGGTCTGGCTACAACATAGTGATTGCCCACAGGTTCAACCATTTCTTCTGAAATGCCAGGCAAGGATTGCGACTTGTGTGTGCTTCTCTCTGGCTTAGGCACTTAAAAACCTGAAATGAAGAACAGGGTTAGCTCCTTATGTACTGTGGGGAGAGTAGTCATAGCATAGCTGAGTGAACTCCAAACTGAGCGTTACCACCTTTGAAGATCAAAAGAGAGATGGTTGAGACACCTACTTCACTTTGCCAAGGTGATCTCCTGCCCTGCTCCTCCTCCTGCTTCAGAGCAGTGTTTCACTGGAGCGTGAATTATTTCTTTCTAAAGATGCAGCCAAAAAGTGGAGATGGTTTTTGAGGTAATTTATCTCCGAGTCAGCCATCTACAACCAAGAACTTCCTCCCTCGATGGAGATTAATTTCCTAAAGAATAAACAAGCAGATCCCAAGCAGTTTCTCTTTGTGGCACTGCTGGGAGAGCTCACTGAAACCCACTGACACATGAGGGGAAAGGCAGAGCCAAGGCAGGGCTCAGACATCCTCTCTTGGATTCAGAGACAGGGCAGAATCTTTTGGGTAAGGTCTCCCTGTGTGACAGGGAGATCAGGCTCAGTAGCAAAAAGCACAGTATTGCTGCTTGTTAAGTTATTTGTAAGATTTACTTCCATGAGTTGTCTGGACTGATTCTCCTCTGCTTCATGTTCACAAACAGTTGTTCCAATATCTAACCTAAATACTATTTTCTGCCTTATCTCAACCCACATTTGCCTGTTTGCACTGAATAGAAACTGTTCTTACTCAGTCCAGAAATGACCCCTGGAGCCCTCATGACACATGAGAAGATTCAAGATTCATTTCAGTTGATACCACTGAGTATTTTGCAGCAATTAAGTGATGCCATCACTGTGCTGCCCACTATGCCTCACATTCTTCCCACATCAAATTCACCTAAACAAATGTACTATCTAAAAACATTTCTCTCAGTTGAAGCCACCATTAAATATTTAATACAGTACTAGTCCTAGACAGAAGCTGTGGAACTTACTCTTTATAGTCACAGTTGGACTAGACGATCATTGAAGGACTCTTCCAACTGGAACTAATTTGTTCTATCCTATTCTATTTTCTTTTGACTCAGAGATGAAGACGTGTCACAGGAAGCAAAAAATCTTTTGTGACACTTATAATAAGGGATTTTTCTTTGTTTTCTCTCCCCCAGTGCAAATGCTCCTCTGTACCTTGGTGCTTGCTGCCGGTCTCATGACAGATGCCCAACTAACTCTAGTTCCTTGCCCAGGTATATCAGCTGACTCTCACTGAAATACCCTGCATGTATTTCTGATTCAGACTGGTGTGTATTCAATATTTGGAGATATCACAGGACAGAATTAATGTAGCACAAAGCTGTTTGCATAGTTATGAACAGAGGAAACACTTTTAATCTATGACCAATTTTGGCATTAAAATGTGAATCCCTTCCTGAAGCTTTGCTACAGCTCAGATCCTATTATTGACTTATTTCAAATTTTAGTTTTCAGATTTCATTTTAGTTTCCTTAGAGTTCATTCTGGGGAAATTCATAAATAAGTGTAGAAGTCCAATAATGTCAGACTTACCTCTTAGATATGCTGTGGTTGTTGACATACTATTTTTTTCACAAAGGATTCACTATTTTGGCAATGGATTAAACATTTTTACTATCTGTTTTAATTTAGAAAATGAGATCTGGAGTATTTTCCAAAAAGTGGCAGGTAATTATTCTAACAGACCAATGCTCAAAATCTAAGCTCATTCTAGACACTGATCCAAAGTCAGTTAAAATCATACTCTGATCCTGTAACTGTACACTGCTGTCCCTGCCTCTGTTGGGATCAGAGCTCCAAACCTGAGGCTGATAAAATTTCAATGAAAAAAGTGGTTGATTTAGTTCATTCTGTGACAAATCTTGGTTATTTACATTTGCGGAAAGAAGTTTTATCTATTAAAGATTTTAAAATTGCTCTGTTTCCTAGTCTGTGTTTCTGCCTTTTAGACTTTCTGTCACTAAGAGGAATATTGCTGAAAGTCCTGTTGACTAGTTTTGTTCATTAAATTGTAGGGCACGAGATGTACTATTTGTACCCTTTGAAATGTTCACAAGCTATAAAAATTAAAGAAGTGTGTGGGTGACTCATTTCAGACTTTCCTCAGTGCTGCAGCTGCTGTAGTTTTTGTGAATACTTTAGTTGTCCCTACTGCCCCTCGCTCCGCCATCCTTCTTTCCTCAGGCCAAATTTACTGCCTTAATCTCAGGGAATATACAATAAGCTTCTTTACAACTCTATGAATCTCCTTTGGTTTATTAATGATAGCCTTACTGAAGGTGTAAGTATTTTGCATGAGTTTTTTAACTCCTGACCGAAACCCCAATTTACAGACTCTCTTGCAGGTGAGCTTTGGGTTGATAGCTCAGAGCTGCAGGAGGAGACATGGAGCCTCACCCCAAGGGTCTTCTCAAGCTGAACCAAGCAAGCAAGAGTCTTCACTAAAGACTGCTGTGCTACAAAGTTAACGTACATGCACAGTCAACTTAAGTTGAACCAAGCCAGCCTGAGCACCTGAGTGCAGTGGAAGGTCCCTTCAGTCTGTTTCCTGGCAGGTAAACGAGCCCATGCAGAGCAGCACCTTGCTGTGGCTGTATGAACACTAGCTGCTGTTCACCCCCACTAGATGAGCTCTTTTTGTCTCCTTCCCTCTGCCACGGGCTCTGTTGGCAGCTGTCGTTACTGTAACTGCAGCCAGCATGTCAGCTACCATCACTCCAGCCCTCCTCTTGCTCGCTCTCATTTTCTTCCCATATATATCTAGAAAGACAGGATACCCTCAGCATAGGGAGGGGTTTTTTCAGCTATCGGTAAAGTTACTTATTTTAGGTGTTTTAAAGAAAATGAGGATGTTGTGAAGAGTACCAGCATGGTGAAGGCAAACATCCTCCACAAATGCCCTAAAAGAGAGGTCTGTACTCCGGTAACCCAAACTGCCCGTTCAGAATGCCCCCATCATTAAGTCCTTGGGCTCCTCATGGGACATGACTAATTCTTCTGATGACTTCTACAGTGTGCCCACCCACACACGGGAAACAAGAGCACAGACCAAGCTCACACTGCACAGCTATCGAGTGGGAACAACTTTCACTCACTGTCGACCAACACAAGGTCTGACCTGAAACTCCAGAAATAACATTCTGGTTTGGTTTTATTCCATATAGTCTCTGATCCTGTTCTAATAGCCAGCAATTAACAGCATTGCCATCTCTCACACCTGAAAATCTCCTACTCCACCACTAATCCTCCATCACTGTGAACCTTTGATAACACATATTTTGATGTGAGTCATTTTACCGAGGGGATTAACAAAGGTATACTTTTCCCCATTTATTAATTTATCCTAAATATTGACTAATAAGTACACAAAAATCTGGTAACTTCTATGGAATGATTAAATATCAACATGCTCCATCCCACTTTTCAATCCGTGTATACCCACTAATAAACACCACTTCTCTGCAATATAAACATTTGAAAAAATACAAAGAAATTCCACAAGGGAAACTTTTACATTTTACAAGAAATATAACACATGATTAGAAGCATTTAATTTATAAGCATTACTTCACATATCTCATACTTAGAATGACAAGTTAAAATTGTACCTGCTTTGTCTTCCAGGAAGTTCTTCAGAAGCAACCACACCAAGATTTTATGGATAAAGATATCCTTGAGATTTTCAGAGGTACTGCAGGAATCTTGTGCTGTTCTTCACTTCAGTACGTCCCTAAATACTGGCAGCACTTTAATAACTAACTTCAGTTAACTTTTACAAGAAAAGGAAGATTTCACTGTGGCCTTGACCATTGAGCTTATCCTCAGGAGGGATGATAAGAGTAATTTCTTAAAGTTCTCTGTGATATTGCTTAACTTCATTTGGTGAACTGTTTCTGATTGGTCTGCAGAGACTCATTATGGGAAAATAGAGATGAATAAGAAGGACTCTCTGTTGCAATCCTGTGCTGTGCATCTGCCAGGTTTCTGTTGAGCTGAGGTGGCCAGAGCTCAGATATAGTACCCTTCATTTCTGAAGGAGCGTGAGTCACTGATGAGGGAGGTGGACTGCTGGGCCTTCCAGCTCTAAGAAAAGCATGCCTCCCTGAACCTTCCTCTGAAGCATCTTTAATAGTCCCTAAATTGTCTTTCCAGAAACAATTTCTGAATTCTCAGATCATTGCCAAAAGCAGTCTTTGCAGGGATTTTGGAAGGCCAGCTGTGATTTGGTGGAGCTGACAGCTGTGGCATCCCGTGACAGACAGTGGAAGGCACAGACCATATGTGTGGCCAGGTACCTCTAACCATGAACGTGGTGTGGGTGGGTTGGACTGTCCCCCAGGATCCTCCTCCCCTCCACTGTCCATAGAGGAACAAGGGGGATCATTCTTTACAAAGTGAACCTTTGTAAACATCCGCCTGAGATACCTAAAACCACCTAAGGAGATACCTGAAATAGCATTTTGAGGACTCAGCCTGCAACTTCAGTTGCAGGTGCCTGTGTTCAGGAGAGCTGTGAACCTTCAGTGCTGAGATGCTGAGGACACCACAGCATCCAAGTTCCCCGATGAAAAGTGTCCTTACAGGTCACACTGCCACGCTGTACCTAGAAGTGCTTGAATTGTTGATATCTATGTTATCAGGAAGACTATGATCTGCTAGGCTCCTTAGTTCACTCCTCTGCCCTGGAAGTCAGAGCTTGACTTAGCTTTTGGTGATCTGAAGTCACAGACCCTGACCCTGAAGGATGTTTTCTTCACCTGGTGAAAGGGCACGGCATGAGGGTGGGCACCATTTGTGCTCTGGAGGTTCAGTCACACACATGGGTTTGGAGGAGAAGAGGCAGGAGCAGCCTGGGATTCTGTTCTCAGGTGGTTTGCCTGTATTTCAGTCAATCATCAGACCAAGATATAATGAAGTGAGCAGGATCCACAAGGTGAGAATTCTATTAGACCATTCAATCAGGATTTCTTTAGCCCATGGCTCTGAGTTCCAAGAATATAGATTGCAGGTGCTTTTGAAATTTGGAGCTACACTTCTAACCAAGACCATAAGCTCCTCTAGTCAGTAAAGATCCCAGGTCACTTCCTAAACTGTTGAGAGTTCCTTCTCTGTGACAGCAAGCCCCTGGTTTTGGTAACTGCTGTCAGGCTTAAGGGATTTACTGCAGTTTGCAAAACTGACACAGTAACTACTTTTACCATTAAAATAACAAACACTTAAAAAGATATAGAACCATAAACCATAAAAAACCCATAAAACAATTAAACAACTTCAGGCTTCTCTCCTCGAAGGGCAGGCATGGTGTGATCACAGAAATGCTTTAAAACTTTTAATTTTTTGTATTAAGGGAATGTCACAAGAAGATGCAACATAAAACAGTAGTTTTGTAAGGACTAGGGTTAAATGCAGGAGGGACTCGGCTCTAATGAAGTCAGTAGTCTTTGGCTTCATCACGTCCACCTGTAAGTGCTTTCCTCTTGGATTATTTCCACTAATTCACTGAAGCAATAAGACTCTACATGGAGTGATGAAGGCAATAAACACTTTAGCCTTTTGTTTGCAGCAGTAATGTTAAGAACACGATTTTCCCCTAATGTTGCAGTAAGGCTTTCATGCACAAGGGTCATAGGGGAGACAGGTCGACTCTGTCCCATGCTGTGGAAGGTCAGCTGTGCAAACCCTTGATGTCTTTATACCAGGTATTCAAACACTAGCTAAATTCTAACCAGCTGGGAAAACATGGCCTTTTCTGCCAAGTCAGAGCAGCAGAGGAGGAAATGAAAATTTCTGATTGCTCTGTCTCTCAGGCAGGCCCATAAACATAGAGTTCAGAGATGTAAATCAGTCATAGCCTGATCCTTTGCCAAATCTCAAGCACTTTCAGCTTCCCTTTGTTTTCATGGGAGCTGAAAACGACCCACAGCTGTTGAAAGCCACTTGGTGAGCTGAGATCTGAAGGGCTTCGCTTGTGCTGTCTCCCATCCCAGCCAGGACGGAGAGGGAAGAACAAGTGACTGGAGGGAAATAAAGCGGTGCGTAAATGGAGCGGTTTACAACTGCAGAAAGAAGGTATTTTTCACAGAGAAAGAAGAAAACAGTTCTGCCGGTGATGCATTTTACTTGCCTTGTGAGAAGCTTCACGTCTTTCTTTAGTGTTAAATAAACACCAATATTGATACTGGGAGATTAGCTGGCTGAGAATGTGGATAACAGCATCAGCTCATCCAGATTTCTAGTGTTTCCCAATGTTTTCCTTCACCATGTGCCGTACAAAGCTTCAGTTCTCCTGTGTAGCTTTCTGGTAACACCCTGTCTGCTGCTGGTCACCCTGCTGTCAGGTTCTGCCCAAAACCTTGAAGCAGAAGATTGCTCACAATACCACCTGCTGTGATGCTAGAAGTGCAAAACACCCCAAACTCAAGTTCTTCCAACCCTTTCAAAAATGACACTGGGCTTTATTTGGGCAGCTCAATGGGTAAAAGAAATATATTTCCGTCAGCAGTAAGTGTGGCAGGCAGTTTGGGGATGCGCTGCTGCTGGGTGACAGTTCCTCTCTCTGCTGTTTGGAGGAAGGACAGGGACCACGGCCTGTGAATGACACCCTCAGAAAGATGTAAAGCACCAAATGGGCACACCTAAGAAAGAAAACAAAAACTGGTTGACCCTAAGAGGTTTTTATGGCAGGTAGAGGTGTCCCTTGTACTCACAGACTCAGGACACTGATGATAGAAGGAAGCACAATGTCATTTCACTTCCAGATTCTTATACTCTCTAATACCTTGGGGTTTTTTTACATCAAGTTTCTCTTTCTAGCACCCTGTAGCCCAGTTCAAATCAGTCATGTTACTAGGTTGAATTCAGTGGTGATGCATAAAATGGGGGTGAGGATGAGTAAGTTTCGTTAAGAAGCAAGTTTCAGGCAACAACAAGAAGATTGGAAAGGGCAGAGAGGTTGGGTTGGAAAGAAATCAGTTCCATTAATAATTATATTTCTAGGTTGCTCAGATTTATTGAGACTTGCAGAAAAAGGGAGTCTGAATTTCGCTTAATGACTCAGGAAGAGCTGACACCCTGCTGGGGAGTGGGTCATTGGAAGTTATCACTCCTTTGTATAGAGCACACAATAAGCAGGAACACCCAGTGCAGTGTACGGTGCAGAGGAGCTGGGAATTTCCAATAAAAGGATTGGTTCCATATTCACATCCCTCTTACTTTTTATTCACACTTCTTTTATCACTCTTATGTAATTTAATTAACTTTTTTTATGGACTTTAGAGTTACTATGCCCTGAAAGCCCGCAATTGTGGCCTGGATGATGGGTATTTATAGGATGACGTTGCACCATAAAGAAGAACACAAACACAAAATCCCACATATTACCTTTCAAAACAGGGAGAGTTTTGACATACCTCTCTGCCAACGTTAAGAATTGTGCTTCATTATTCAAGACAAAAGCATCATATTTTTATCTAATGTTAATTTTACTTTCCCACTTAAGAATTTTTGATATTTTGCTTAAGGCAAAAAGTAGTTACTCTGTTTTCATTTAAAGCTGTCTGTCTCTTTTAATTTCATGGAGCAAATTAATTTCTTAAGCAACCTCTCACCTCATAGACAACCAACTAGATTAGACTTGCTGATTCAGCAGTTACCTGCACTTTTACAGTTGCTGAATCTAGCAATACATTATTTGAGACTCAGACAGGCTGAGAATCACAGCAATGGGAGGATGCACAATCACAGAGCCAGCCCTGAGGAGCTTCTCCTGGCTGTCAGTGGGTGAGTCAGTGAATCTGCAGTGTCACAGCCAGATATGTTGTGTCCTTTGGTACTGATACTGCTAATTGTGCATTGGAGTTACGTTTAAAACACAGATAGTAATGAGTGCTTAGATATCTGAAAATAAAGCATAAACGTAAATAGCCTCGTTTGTGCTGTGCTGTAATGGAAGGCTCTTCACCCTGAGGTTCTGCCTTCCTGCTCCAAGGACACCTGCCTCAGAGATGCTTGTGGGACCCCCATTTGCAAGAGGTTTTCAGCCATATGAGAGTGTAAAAATATCCTGTAATCCACCAGGTTAAAGGAGAAGCATTGCAAAGTGTTCTGTCTGCCTTAGGCTTGCATAGAGTGTCTATGCATATTGTTCCTCTAGGCACATCCCAACTCTGGGAAGCCACGGTGCCCCATGCCTGAGGCTTTCAATACTGCCCTTTCCTGATGAAACTGTGCAGGTCCATGTTGTGACTAACATGGAAATGTGGTGCCAGCCCCAGGAGAAGCTGTGGTGTCCCATTGGGTGTCCATAGATGTTTTTCCCTTCTGGCAAGCAGGAGCAGATGGCAGAGGGAGGACTAGTTTATTCCTCTCTTGGCAGAAGTTGGTTAGCTGAAGCCTGGGAGCTGTGGCATGTGTTGGATGGGACCTGACATTGGAGTCTCTGTCCAGCACTGCTGAGCCAGAAAAGTCCCATTTTCCTACCCCTCAGCACTGCTGGACAATTTGCCCATGAGTCCATCACCAAATCATGCCTTTGTCTGGTTTGTGTCTCCACAGGGGACAGTCAAGATAATGATCCTTGAAGACCACAACAGCGGTTTCCTGAATATCAGTTAATCCCAAAACAGTTCTATTAAATAGGAACAAAGTCAAACTGTCATAAAAGCGAAACCACAACCAAACTAACTATAAATACCCAAAACACTGCCTGGCACAGCATGACAAGGAGCTTCTACTAATGGGTGCCAGCACTGTATTTTCCAGGCAAGCTCCAGTCACTGTTTC